ATTGCAAAAGATTGAAAATTGAACGAAATAACTGGGAAGAAATGTTTCGGTCCATTAAATCGTATACATTCATTACCAGCACCACAAAAATAACGAGTGAAGTAATTGTTAGTTGTCAAAAAAGACGAGAAATGGCCCATGAAGCTTGCAGCTAGTGCCACCCTAGCTGATACTCTCTCTGACAGTGAAACAACCAGTCTCTGTGCGGATTCGCTCAATTGTTTCGATGGTAAATTGATATATTAGCACATGTCATGAATTTGCCAGCAGCGTGTCTCTAAAAAATCCTTGGAAGAAAGGGACCCATTGACAGCCTTGCCAGCGAGTGATTGCTATTGGCACGGATTACTCGCTACATATGAGCATGCGCGTTTGCCTCTTACCGGAATTACGGGGGGAGAATGTGTTTACAACTCTTTCATTATTGAAATTTCTAAAAATTAGTGTGTTTTGACACCAAGAAACTTCTTACTGGTCAGGTTATCTGCAGGGAAGTTGGGAGTGGGGGGGGGGGGGGGAATTTCACGGACATGGAGTTGTAAAGAGATGTTTTTTTTCGTTCTCAGGATTTAGCAGGTTACCACGGTTATTATGTTCCTTTTGGATTTTCGAACTCTGCCGGCTGTTTGTAATGCGATATCAGTGCACGTAATGGACAGAGGCTGCTGGTATGAGCCGGATGCATGCAGCAAAGAATGAATAGGCCTGGATGAGAGTGGTCCAGCATTCAGGCGTATTCTGAGCCCCCCACCGGTAGTCTGAACAGTCATGAAGATATCTTCTTCCATAGTGTGCCCGCTTGCCATAATCGAACGTATATCAAAAAAAAAAAAATGGCTTAGGGGACGAAAACGAGTTGTCCGAAAACGATGATTTACAAATACATGCGCCACGAAAAGTGATTATCAACGGGTTCGCAGTTACGCAGAAGTGGTGCTGTACATGTAAATTTTATCGACCACCAAGAACTTCACATTGTGCCATATGCGATCGGTATGTTCGCTTCTGC